CTAATTCTCATATCCTTTCCACAATCAAAAGAAACTCTGTGTTGGCTCCTCTCTTAAAGCAGCCATCACCTGGTCTCAGACTCAGATACAACAGTCCTCCAATCCAAGCCTAGTTTCACTTGGACAGATGACAGGTGTCTCCCTTTACAGTTAAAAACCCATGAACTAGTCTCCAATTACCAAAAATAAGCCAGAAAGGTTAACAGAGTTCTGATAATATGCCTAGGATACCATTACCATATACCTAAAAGCTGTCGGTGGCAAACCAGTTCCCCAAATGAGGCTGTTTACAGACTCACAAAAGCTCGGTTACTTGAGTCTCACGCCCTTTAGCAGAATACCTATTTTTCAAGAACTATTTCTAACAGAACTATGAAATGTTTTAACTGCCATTCACAAATGGAATATAAAGGTTATCACTATGTTCTCCCAATATACCAACCTAGACTCACTGAAGGCAGGACTATCTACCTTGCTTGTCTATTTTCCCAGTACCCAGTATCCATGAGACACTTAACACCTACGAAGTTGGGAGAGGGGAAACATGCCTATAATCCCAGCAGTTGAGACCGAGACCGAAAGTTACTGCACTTTGAGGCCAGTTCTGGCTATATGATCAGCCTCAAATGAACAGGGAACCTTTCCTTAAAAAAAAAAAAAAGCCAGTCAGGTGGATGGTGGTGCACACCTTTAATCCCAGCAGTCGGGCAGCAGAGGCAGATGGATCTCAGTAAGTTTGAGGCCAGCCTGGTCTACAAAGTGAGTTCCAGGAGAGCTAGAGATACCCAGAGTTGTAATAGCTGAGTCAAAAACAAACAATAAAAACAACAGCAAAGTCTAAAAATGAGAGAAATCATAGAAGCAACCTTTCATGGGACGTTCCCAAAATTCTCAAAAGAAAGCTTATCTGCTAAAACTAGAGAAACGGCATTTTTGTTACAGCCTACACTAGGAAAGATGACTGACAACTACTTACTCTACACTGAAAAATAAGATTTATAAACTCTAAGTGATACCTACAGTGGAAACATTTTCACTAAAGAGAAACAAAAGTTGCAGCCAGACTTGGTGGCACAGGCCTAGCTCCTGGGAGCTTTCCCTCACCCAGTTCAATCTCTCAAACAAGAGAAAAAGCGAGGTAAGAATTTTCCCTCCAACTGGATGTCAATCTGTGGAAGAATGAAAATAGATCCATATCTATCGCCATGCACAAAACTCAAGTCCAAATGGATTAAAGACCTCAATATCAGTCCGAACACACTGAACCTGATAGAAGAGAAAGTGGGAAGTACTCTGCAACACGTGGGCACAGGAGACCACTTTTTACGTATAATCCCAGCAGCACAGACATTAAGGGCCTCACTGAATAAATGGGACCTACTAAAACTGAGAAGCTTCTGTAAAGCAAAGGACACTGTCACTAAGAAAGAAAGGTAACCCACTGACTGGGAGAAGATCTTCACCAACCCCACAACTGACAAAGGTCTGATCTCCAAAATATATAAAGAACTCAAGAAACTAGACTGTAAAAGGCTAATCAGCCCAATTATAAAATGGGGCACTGAGCTGAACAGAGAACTCTCAATAGAAGTTCAAATGGCCAAAAGACACTTGAGGTCATGCTCAACTTCCTTAGCGATCAGAGAAATGCAAATCAAGACAACTTTAAGATATCATCTTACACATGTCAGAATGGCTAAAATAAAAAACACCAATGATAGCCTTTGCTGGAGAGGTTGTGGAGAAAGGGGTACACTCATCCATTGCTGGTGGGAATGCAAACTTGTGCAACCACTTTGGAAAGCAGTGTGGCGGTTTCTCAGGAAATTCGGGATCAACCTACCCCTGGACCCAGCAATACCACTCTTATCATACAACAAAAGTAGATGCTCTACTATGTTCATAGCAGCATTGTTTGTAATAGCCAGAACCTGGAAACAACCTAGAAGCCCTTCAATGGAAGAATGGATGAAGAAAGTATGGAATATATACATATTAGAGTACTACTCAGCAGTAAAAACAAGGACTTCTTGAATTTTGCATGCAAATGGATGGAAATAAAAAACACTATCCTGAGTGAGGTAAGCCAGACCCAAAAAGAGGAATATGGGATGTACTCACTCATATTTGGTTTCTAGCCCTAAATAAAGGACATTGAGCCTATAATTCGTGATCCTAGAGAAGCTAAATAAGAAGAACTCAAAGAAAAACATATAGGCATCCTCCTGAATATTAACCTTCATCAGGCGATGAAAGGAGACAGAGACCCACATTGGAGCACCGGACTGAAATCTCAAGGTCCAAATCAGGAGCAGAAGGAGAGAGAGCACGAGCAAGGAACTCAGGACCGCGAGGGGTGCACCCACACACTGAGACAATGGGGATGTTCTAACTCACCAAGGCCAGCTGGCCTAGGTCTGAAAAAGCCTGGGATAAAACCAGACTCTCTGAACATAGTGGACAATGAGGACTACCGAGAACTCAAGAACAATGGCAATGGGTTTTTGATCCTACTGCACATACTGGCTTTGTGGGAGCCTAGGCAGTTTGGATGCTCACCTTACTAGACCTGGATGGAGGTGGGTGGTCCTTGGACTTCCCACAGGGCAGGGAACCCTGATTGCTCTTTGGGCTGAAGAGGAAGGAGGGACTTGATTGGGGGAGGGGGAGAGAAATGGGAGGCGTTGGTGGGGAAGAGACAGAAATCTTTAATAAATAAATAAATTAAAAAAAAAAAAAGAATTTTCCCTCCAATACTATGATCAGTGAAAATCCTAATCCTAGAAGAAACCTTAGATACTAAATTATGAAAGGGATTGGCCCCATCTTCACAGTAATATAAATAGCCATCAACCTAATGGCAACTCAAATTCTGCATAATTATAAACTTAAGGAGGTACGTAAGTTATAAATTTTAGTCTATTTTTTCTTTTTTCTTTTTGTTTGTTTGTTGTTGTTGCTGTTGTTGTTGTTGTTATTGTTTTTGGCTTTTCAAGACAGGGTTTCTCTGTGTAACAGCCCTAGCTATCCAGGAACTAGCTCTTGTAGACCAGACTGGCCTCGAACTCACAGATATCCGCCAGTATCTGCCCCCCACGTATAGGGATTAAAGGTGGGCGGTGGTGGCGCACGCCTTTAATCCCAGCACTCGGGAGGCAGAGGCAGGCGGATCTCTGTGAGTTCGAGGCCAGCCTGGTCTACAAGAGCTAGTGCCAGGACAGGCTCCAAAGCTACAGAGAAACCCTGTCTCAAAAATAAAAACAAAACAAAAAGTGTGTACCACCAAGCCCAGCTTGATTTAGTCTATTCTGGCTAGGCCGAACAGTTTGCTGTGAGCTGAACGTTAGAACTGAGAGTGAGGCTTGGTAGGTAATGCCTGTAAGCATAGCACTACTGTGGCCGAGACAGAAGGATGGGAGCAAACATGAGGCCTGCCTGAGGGAAAATGTGAGACCCTGTTTCAAAAAAAGAAAAAAAAAAGGAAGAAAATGTTATAATTGACAACCGCCAGAGTATTTCATTTTTATGACTTTTACTTATCAAAGTAAAGTGAGCATGGGATGCTCTAACTTTCCAAGTGTCCAACTTTTTAAAAATCAGACAGCCTTCCACTATGTCAACCCATTTTCACTGCTTCTTCTGGACTGGAAGCTTGCAGAAACTTCTTTCTATGATTAATTTCTGTAAATGTATTATTGCCGTTTTATTCTACCAAAGACTTAGGGAGTATGACTTTCCAAAACACTCTCCTATCAAGCCACTAATGCCAGAAGTGAGTTCATTGCCATCTGCTGTCCCCTGTCCCGTCCTCCCTGGTAGACACACCCACACTTCCTTGAATGAAGCTTCCATCTGGAAAAAGCTGGTTCCACTCTGGACTCTACAGAACAGTCTCTTAGGATGCTACTGCACGGAATGAATGAACCACAATGGCCTTATTACGGATGTACTACCCCTGCTTACAGAGTTTCTGAAACGGGTACTGTTTACTGTTCAGCTGAAAACATGCAAATAAGGTTAAGAACAAGCAACAGTATATTTGAGAGGTCCTCTTGGAGAAGGTGCCGTCTAACTTTCTTTAAAAGACCATAAAAAGATCCTCAAGAGTTGCCAGGACGCCATCACTGTGACCCATCATACCCATAAACACTGCCTGACGAACTCGCTGCCTTAAAACGCAAGTTCCCTTTTATATTTAAAGAACTTATATTTGAATATGGTGAAGTAATGAATGACTACTGCCTGTGGCCTCCACAATACGTAACGTGGGAAAGGGGAACCTTAAGAAAATTCTAATTGGGGGGAAAAAAACAAGTGAAAAGTTGTTTTCCTTGCTGTGAAAAGACTGGAAAAAAAATCTATCCCTGTAACTTCCCCTCCCCTTTTGCTAGTCAGAGTAAAAACTGCACGTAGGAAAATTAATACCACCCCATCCTTTGAGTCATGCCTACGAAAGAAGACAGTCTGTAGTGGGGGGCACAGATGCTCCCCTGTCTCTTGAGAAAGGGCCACTTGTCCCCGTCTAAATAAGAACCTCACTTCTGCAAGCCCACCCCTGCCAAAGCTGCTGGCTCGTGTCACTGGGACAGCGGGGTCTGCTGGGCTGGTGACGCGGTCCTCTCTCTTGCTATGGGGCCCGGGGGAGGACCTGGCACACGGTCCTTCTCCCGGGCCTGCGACCCAACACTCCACCGAGCGCTGGCAACGACGGTCCGGCCGGAGGCTGCCGCGCGGCGGGCGCAGGAAGAGCAGCCGCCGGGGCCGGAGGACGGCGGCGTCCACGCGGCAGGAGAAGACGGCGCCGCGAGGCTGCGAGCAGACCGGCGGGCACGCGCGTCCTCGGGAGAGCTGTCCGCCGGAGGGCTCCGGGCCGGCCGCCCCCCGCGACCCCCCGAGCCACACAAAGGCAGGCGACGGCGCGCGGAGGCCGCCGCCAGCCTCCGCCAGCCCCCGCCGCGCCGCCGCCTTTGTCTGCGGGCCTCGGCCTCCCCGCTCCTTACCCGCGTGAGTAGCGGTCTCATCTGCTCGCCGGCCCCGTCCGCCTCCATGGTCCCGCCCCAGGGACCCTGGGAGGGCCGCGGCCAAGACGGGCACGCGGCGGGAGAGCCTGTGCGGAGCGCTGGCCGCCGACAGCGGCGCCGGCGCCGGGAACGGGCTGCGGGCGCGGGGCGGTCTCCGGCGGCGAAGCAACGGCGTGCCGCGAGGACTGAAGCGGCCGGAGGACGCGGCGCAGAGGAGGCAGCCGCGCCGGGTCGGGGGCGGGGCGGAGGCGGGGATGGAGGCCGGGGGCGGGGCGCACCCGGCACGCCCCCCCCGGAGCACGCCCCCCCTGCCGGTTTGGCTCTGCGGCCGGCGTCGAGCGACCCGCCTCCCGTGACTCGGCTGCCCGGAGAGGGGGCGGAGGGAGGAGGGAACAGACATTCGTGCCAGCCAATCAATGACTCTGGAGGTTCGGCTCGCACCCGCCCTCCCCCCCCCCCCCCGTCCGTTTCCCGGAGGCCCCGCCCCTCTTTGTAAAGGCTTCACCGACCGGGGCTGAGGGAGTGGAACTCAGTTTTTCGGATCGGAAGTTCTACAGACTTTGAAAGTGGAGTGGGGTCACCAGCCCGGCGGGCTCCGCACCACGTGTTTTACAAGCAGGAGGGAAACAGGACGACGCCCGATTCATTTTCCGCCTCTGCAAGTTTCTCTCCTAGACGTAACTCTCGATCATGTGCCCGTAAACGAGGGGATACACTTGCCCACTTGCCCTGTGTGCTCCCTCCGCTGGCCTAGTACCAAGGCCCTTCCCACTGCTGGGTCCACCCTAAAGGGCACGTGTCAAATATTAAGGTGATGAAGTTCGCCACCCCACAAGATCATTGAAATTTTAAATCCATTTCTGTCCCTCTGTCCCAAAGTGCTTGGCGCGTGGTGTGGTTCTTATCACTATTGCTAAGGAGGTTTTCAGGATGTTAATAAGAACAATAAAAGATTGACTTGAGAACAGCTGAATCAGACAGGGGAAGGAAATACTTACCGGCAGGTCAGGAGCACACCTCTTGCCCGTACTTAGCAGGATATTAGTAAAGCCCATTGCCAGCAATACATAGAAAGTGTACTAGATGGCTGTTCCTGCTTTGAGTCCTAGACCCCCTTTTGTTCTAAATTTCCCAGAGAGGGATGGGTAGGCTGGCAGTTGGCTGTGACTAATTGTCCAAGAGCAGATGTGTTTCCGTTAATAGCTACCATTTGAAGAGACCTGCAATTACAGACGGTGACATTTCGCAAATGTTTCGTCTCTAATCCTCTCAATACTACAGAGTATGCCTGCTGTGTGGTTTGACTGTGTCCCCCAGAAAACTAGATTGGAAACTTAATCCCCAGTGCAATGGTGTTGAGAGATGGGGTCTTTAAGACGTGAGGTTTCACAGGGTCGTGGCAGATTAATGTTTGTAGCCCGAGGGTCTGGCACTGCGAAAGCAACTCTTGCCCTCCACACATGCCATTAGCCCTTCTGCTTTCAGATTCGGGTTGACACAGGAAGAAGGCTCTCTCACCAAACGCAGCCCACCCTCCTTAAGCTCCACCGTCTCGAGAACTGTGAGAAATACTGCTTTTCTATATAAATGACTCAGATTGCTTTGTTCTGTGTAACCACACCAAATAGAGCAGGTTAGTGTTGTGCCCCCATTTTACAGATGAGGAAGCAGAGACTAGAACAAATCACTAGGAGTTCTAGTGAGTAGAAGAGCTCTTCTGAACCATTCTAAGGCTTCATTAAGAATGATTCAAAAGAATCTCAATAAAGGAATAAAGAGAAATGAAAAAAATAAAGAAAAGGAATAATTGATTGATTGATTGATGACTTTTTTTTTCCTGTACGAGGAGTTTAAACTAGGGCCTCACTCCTGCTAGACAAGCATTCTACCACTGAGCAACATCCCCCAACCTATGAATGCACTTTATACTGAAGAAGGGTAGAAAGCCTGCTAGAGAAAGCGCTTGCCCAGCAAGCATGAGAACCAATTCACATCCCTACAACGATGGCCAGGCAGATACCAGTTAGCTGTCATCGTAGTCCTCGGGAGTCAGAGACCAGTGATCTGCCAACCAAGCTAGCTAGCTAGACCAGCCCACTGCACGGTCTGGGTCCAGCTGGGAAACCCAATCTCAACCAATAAAAGTAGGAAGTGATGGAGGAGAACACCAACCCATCTGCTTGCACATACATATGCACATGTGTCTCCACATACGAGACAGACATGCAAGCATACACACCCAACAAATATACAGACATGCACACCAAAAAGTAAAAATGGGTTCTCAACCCTCTTAGAGCAAAGTGTATAATATCAAAGCTGGAGAGGACAAGTCAATGGAGAGAAAAGAACAAGCACAAGAATATAGACCCACTCTTTCGCACTCTAGGGAATCTTATAATGCTTTTCCAGTGGCTGAGTGTATGTGGGCTTTGATCATATTGATTTAGAGGGCCTTGTGTTCTTGGTGTCCTCCATGACCTCTGCTTCTTGCAGTCTTTCTCAGCTCTGACAGGAAGGATTCGATGGAGACATGCCATTTAGTGCTGAGTGTTCCAAAGTCTCTCTTTTTCTGCATATTGTCTGGCCATGAGTCTCTATGTTTGCTCCCATCTGTGGCAGGAGGAAATTTCTCTGGTGACTGAACAGGGAGCTGATCTTTGAGTGTAGCAGAATGTCACTAGGAGTCTTTTTATGTCTTCCTCTTCTCCTCCTTTTCTTCTTCTTTCAGAACAGTAGTATTTGGTTTTCCCATAGGTCCCTGGGCAATGCAGTCTCTGGTTCTTGGTCACCCAAGCGGTGTCAGGTATAGGTTCCATCTTGCAGAGTGTGCATTAAATCAAATCACTCATTGGCTGGTTACACACGCAAGCTTTGTGCCGCCATTGCCCTAGCATATCTTGTAGGCGGGACACCATTGCAGATCAAAGGGTTTGAGGCTGGCTCAGTGTTCAAGTTTCTCTTTTGGTAATGTGAAGAATACCTTCCTGCACAAAAGATCCTGAAACATAGAGGTGAAGGCTCTATGTAGGCACCAGCTCAACTTCTCCAGGTTCAATGAGTTGTGTTGGTGTTGTCTTCAGTAATGGGACCTTGCCATCATTTGTGGACAACAACCTATAGCCTTAGCAACAGCCTGCATTGTTTAGAGATTCCAACGGAGATTCTTTGGTCAACAACTCAGATGTACCCCAATCTTGGTACTGGCAGCCTCTTTGGTGACAAGAAACGGCCAGTTGGGACTCTGTCTCCCCCATCATGGCAATTCCATAGCTGAACAAATGTCTCTGTGGTAGGATGAAGTGTTCTTTGGGTATATGCCCAAGAGTGGTATAGCTGGGTCTTGAGGTAGATCAATTCCCATCTTCCTGAGGAAATGCCACACTTATTTCCATAGTGGCTGTACAAATTTGCCCTCCCACAAGCAATGGATGAATGTTCCACTTACTCCACATCCTGGCCAGCATGAGCTGTCGCTTCTTTTGTTAGTCTTAGAGCCATTCTGAAAGGCATAAGATAAAATCTCAAAGTAGTTTTGATTTGCATTTCCCTAATAGCTAAAAATGAAGAACATTTTTTATAGAGTTTCCACCATCTGAGTTTGCTCTATTGAGCATTCTCTGCTTAGATCTGTACCCCATTTTTTGCATCAGGTTACTATTTTCTGGATATTCAGGTTTTTTGAGTTCTTTATACATTTTGGATATTAGCCCTTGATTGGATGCATAGCAGGTAAAAACCTTCTCTTACTCTATAGGCTGCTGCTTTGTCCAAATGACTGTCCTTATCCATGCAGAAGATTTTCAGTTTCATGAGATCCCGTTCATTAACTGTTGATCTTAGTGTCTGTGCTAATGATGTTCTGTTCCAAAAGTCTTCTCCTATTCCAATGTGTTCAAGGCTACTTCCCATTTTCTCTTCTATCAGGTTCAGCATATCTGGTTTTATGTTGAGGTCTTTGATCCATTTGGAGTTGAGTTTTTAGCAGGGATGCATAACTATGGTTCTATTTACATCCTTCTACATGCAGACATAGAGTCTGAGCAACACCAATTGCTGAAGATGCTGTATGTTCTCATTATCAAAAATCAGGTGTCCATAGGTGTGTGGATTTATCAATTTGATTCCATTGATCAATGTGTCAATGTTTGTGCTAGTATCACGTTTTTATTGCTATAGCTTTGTAGTACAACTTGAAACTTGGGGTGATGATACCTACACTACTTCTTTTATTACTGAAGATTGTTTTAATTATCTTGGGATTTTGGTGCTTCCATATGCAGCTGACAATTGTCCTTTCATGATTTGTCAAGAACTGTGTTGGAATATTGGTGGGAATTTCAGTGAATTATCTTTTATGCTTTTGGTAAATGGCCATTTTTACTATGTTGATTCTACTAATTTATGGGCGTGAGAGATCTTTCTGTCTTCTAATATCTTCATCAACAGCTTGAAGTTTTTATCATACAAGTCTTTCACTTGGTTAGAGTTACCCCAAGATATTTTATATTATTTGATACGATTGTAAAAGGTGTTATTTCCCTGGTTTCTTTCTCAGTCTGTTTGTCATTTGTATACAGGTGTGTAACTGATTTTTGTGACTTAATTTTGTATCCAGCTGCTTTAATGAAAGTGTTTATCCTGGAGGGATTTTTAGCATCATTTATGCTTACCATCATATCATCTGCAAATACAAAGTTTCTACTTTTTCCTCCTGACTTGAATCCCACTGGTCTCCTTCAGTTGTCCTATTGATCTAGCTAAGACTCCAAGTACTATAAATAATAGGTATGGAGAGTGTGGACAGCCTTGTCTTGTTCCTGACTTTAGTGGAATCGCATTGTGTTTCTTTCCAGTTTTAATTGATGTTGGGTATGGGTTTGCTACAAGGTAAGTCTCTTGTAACTCTAATTTCTCCAAGACTTTTCTCATGAAAGGGCTTTGTATTTTGTCAAATACTCTTCTAATTTTGTTTTCACATTTTGTTTTCACATTCAAATGCTCTTCTGTACTGAATGAGATGATCATGTGGTTTTGTCTTTCAGTTTGTTTATATGACGGATTACATTTATTGATTTATGCATGCTGAACCCTCCCTGCCTCTATGGCTTGAAACCTCCTTGATCATGGTGGATAGTCATTTTGATA